ATCATACCTCTATCGTTAGCTCGTCGTCGATTTTGACCCCGAATTATGTCAATAGCAATTTAGTTGCGTTCGGTCGTGTATTGTGAAGATTGCGCGACAATTCGGATTGCCTGATATTTTTCTATTTTTTATTGTCATTGTAAGCAGACGAGCATACGGCCCACCTGATGGTAAGTGGTCACCGTCGCTCATGGACGTCAGCAATGCCAGGGGTAGAGCCAAGCCGTTGCCTACCTTTTTTTTTCATTCATCAAATGGTCGGCCTAAAGTAGCACCCCACCCCCATTTCCTCACCCGGGTGTCTTAAGGCGACTGGGCACGAGAATTGAAACAGCCGTCTCGTAGTTACAAGTCTGTTATGAGCACAAACTGGATTCTTCAAGCGTCGCGAGCGCGACACGACATCCCTACCCTACCCATTAAATTACTTACTGAATTACCGAATTACTGGTTACTTACTGAATGCATAAACCTTTAAAGGTTTAATCGCTACGATCTTAATCCTTGAATACTTTGATAAGTGGATGAGCTCACGGTTCACCTGTTGTTAATTTCCACCACCGACCCTGAGATATGAGTTTTAAGTCTCAGCTGTTACAGTACAGCGGCTGCCTGACCTTTCAAACCCAAAAGCATTACTACTTCACTGCAGAAATAGGCAGAGTGGTGGTACCCACACGTGCGGCCTTGCCAGATTCTCATAGTTGCTTGCTGATATTGTCAGAGTAACCGGGTGATGGAAAGCATCGCACAGCGACCAACGCTCTGCTTCTGACAAAGCAGGGTATTCCAGGCACGGTGATGGTGGGAACTATTTCTACCGATAAATACGCGACTTACTGGAGAATAAAACAGATGATAGCTACTTCTCCAATACAGCCTCGCTATCGAGGTAGATATTGGTATTCGGTAATTCAGCTCTTTTGTGATTGATAGCTTTCATCCCAAGCCCGACTATGGTATCATTCGTCGTAAGTGAAAGCGCTTAACAAATTAATATTACTAAATAGAAGTCAATAGCGTAATTGAAATTCAAATCATCTACTAACTAATGTGAAAGTTTATTGGAAATAAAATTCAGCAGTTGGATGTTGTTAAGCGAGAGGGTGTCAAAGCGTAAAAAAGTGATAATTAACTTTTCAGGACTTTGACCATAGCAGCAACTATTGGTTGAGGAGCTCAATGCTCGTCTAGTGTAAGCTGTCATGACGTCACACATGTCGCCACCCACATTGAGGCATAAGGCTATCCTAGCCATCAAGCTAGTACTTACATGATGAGGAATTATTTTCGTAGAAAAATCGCACCACTGTGGATTCGAATCATCGAGCGATTACTAATGATGTTGAAACATTATATGTCAATACTTTGGCACCTGAAACTGTCATTGTTATTAACATTTCGGTCTTAGTTTATGAAAAACCGAACAAGAGAAAGTAGGCCTTTTTAGGGTCGTTTCGTCCAAACTTATTAACGCTGCTTGTAAGTTAATGATAGTAAGGTAATATGTAATGAAACATATCTTATTTGTAAGCTTATATGAGGTCTTGTATTCCTGCAGGGGTATGTATAAGCTTACCGCATATATTTGGTATATAAAGGCAGGACTTATTAATGTGGTCCTCAGTGTTATAAGGGGTCTTTCATATCAAGGACCATAAGGTTGTTCACCAAAAATCCGTCTTAAAAATCCCCGCCAAACTCGAATCTACGGAGACGTTATCGCTTCCAATATGTCATGTTCTCGGGGTGAAAGTGGTGAATGACTCAACAGGGTTACAGCGAACAAAATTAATAACTGCTGCAGTGACTCAAACTGGGCCACAAATGCTTTCTTTACTCATGGATGCTTGCAGAGACACTAACTACGATTTAATGGCCTGGATTGTTTTCCTACCTAAGCAGATAGCCTTGAGAGGTCATTTCAGCGTAACCTTAACTAGTAGGTGAGCTCACGGGGCTCAAACCTGACGACGTTGCTAACACGAACCCTAGCAAGAGCCGTGCTTTGCAGAATCTACTACTGGATAGGAAACGCGACCCACTGAGAAAATCCGGCGAGAAACTCAGTGGGCTGTGTCTGTGGATTAGTTTACTCGTCGAGCCTTTCGTCGCTTGCGACGGGCTTGGCGAGAACGATGACCGGTGCTTGAGGTACCTAAAAGCACCGTTAGTGGATCGGGAGGATCCGAAATGACGTGAACCTAAAAGGCCTAAACTACGTTTATGTACGAAATCAGATAATGCCAGTTGAATAAGTATCATATATTTGTGCCGAAAGGGCGTACGTCAAAAATCTTTCANACTCGTCGAGCCTTTCGTCGCTTGCGACGGGCTTGGCGAGAACGATGACCGGTGCTTGAGGTACCTAAAAGCACCGTTAGTGGATCGGGAGGATCCGAAATGACGTGAACCTAAAAGGCCTAAACTACGTTTATGTACGAAATCAGATAATGCCAGTTGAATAAGTATCATATATTTGTGCCGAAAGGGCGTACGTCAAGAATCTTTCAAAAGTTTTCATACGAAAAGGCCAATATAGTTTCGTACTATTCAATTATTGATGGCTCATTGTTCTAATGCTCGGTACTAAAAAAAAAAATTGATGTTGGCCTTATCCACAAATTAGTACTAGCATCCTAGTTTGGGCTAGACTATCGTATGTGCCTTGTCCACAGTTTTGACCATTATTAACGGTAGTTTTCCTAATTTATTTTTATATCATGTTTCATTCATTTATATTTCAGTCTTCTTACAAACTATAAGTATAACCAAAACATTTGTAAGCTATATTAACTTAATTAACTTCTAGGAACAGCTACAAAATCGACAGCTAAATCTCCATTGATAGCTTTATTGGAGATTACTTCAGGGATGAACGCTATAAATAAATCTTTACTAAGAACAGGCAAGTAGGGCTGGCCCTACATATTAACCTAGTCTGCAGTGTTTTCGCCACAATCCGTCCCCAACCTAGGTACCAAATGCGTTTTATTGAACTCAAACTAATCCCAAAAGCTAACTTGGTGATATTGGTGCGAGAGAAAACCTTGCTGGATACCTCAGCGCAATTGAGTAGCGTCACCAAAAAAATACAGTTAAACTATAAACTGTACAACACAATAACATTATAATCTAATTTAAATAAAATAATGCAGAGAGGTAGGATGGAACTATATATTTAAATAAAACTCAAGACGAAAGTAATGAGTTACATCAACGAAAAAAAAAAAACACAAAAATAATGAAGTGCCAAACTTCTCTTCCGTTCGTTATCGATAAAATAAAAACAACAAAAACCTTTTTTATAAACACATTCATCGATACACCGGCCGTTACTTCTCCGAAGCGAGCCGGTTCCGTGATACAAACTAATTATTGCAGTTTATGTGTACAACTGTTTTACCGGTTAATTATCTCGAATCACGGGATACTTGACTCGGCGAAGCTGCTCAAAAAGAAATTGAAAACCGCCTTCGTAAATCTGCTATTATTAACAACTTTTTTTTTACTAAAGATCCATGTATTATGTGTTATTAGATGATAGTTGACGGTAGTTAGAAGATGTTCAGAACCTACATATACATAGGTTTAAGAAAACTATTAAAGAACATCTGTGCAATAAAGCTTACTATAAAGTCAATGATTATCTAGAAGATTGCACAAAGTGGGAATGAGTTGCTCGCTCCGGGCATTTCAATATCGTAGTAATTGTTACGTTATATTATTCATTGTAAAAAATTCATATTTAAAAAAATAATAATCTAATATTCAAAAATAAATAAATAATAATTTCATATTTAAAAAAAAAAAAAGACATGCCCGCTGAGTTTCTTGCCAATTCTTCTCAGGACGGAGGCTAATTCTTGTGAATTGGCGGTAGTTCTTTTGACGTTCAACAAGTATGTACTTTCATTTATGTTGAATAATTTTTTTTTGATTTGATTTGATTTGATTTGATTATTTGCTATAGATATTACACACACAAACACACAATGGCTCTACGGTTTCAGTAGAGATCTAGAATTAGCTTAGCTAACTGGATTAGCTAGATTTCGTATATAAAAACCAAATCCTTCGATGTCAGTTTTAGGACAAGGCGGTTTCTAGTCATAGATGGTCTCGCTTCGGTTGCTAGGCGATAACTTTTATTTTTTATTGACTTTGTAGTCGGACGAGCTTGTGGTCTACATGACAGTTAGTAGTTTTGAGCAGTCAAGAGCAGAGCCAAGCCACTGCTTACTTCTCGAGTATTTTTTTTTTTGGGCCGGGTCCTAACCTGCGTCGAGGTCCCGGCGCCTAGGGGGCGCGCGGGGTATATGAGACTTGACGATCTGCTGATGTTGGAAGCAGACCGCGGGCCCAAAAGTTTTAGGGCCCTACCGCACTAAGCGACTCACTCTTACACCCGACGTCCGATCTCCGTCCGGAGTCAGAACCCGGTCAGAGTAGGGGGGTTCTCTCCTACCTCTTCTGTTATAAAACATTGAGTTCCATTGACTTGGCGACCATCAAAAACGTCAGCAGATAAATAAATCCTTATGTATATAGACTGAATAGACACAGCTCATTGAGTTTCTCGCCGGATCTTCTCAGTGAGTCGCGATTCCGATCCGGTGGTAGATTCTGCGAAGCACGGCTCCCACTGAGAAGATCCGGTGTGAAGCTCAGTGTGTGAGCTGTGTCTTTGGGTTAATTCACTTGTTTGTCCCTTTTGATGACATCTTGTAGTAGGTACTACTATTAGGTAGGTAGGTATTGTTACACATGTTACAGAATTATAAATATTGCTTATATCTCAAGGTGGGTGGCGCATTGACGTCGTAGATGTCTATGGGTTCCAGTAACCACTTAACACCAGGTGGGCTGAGAGCTCGTCCACCCATCTAGCAATAAAAAAAAAATCTCAATAAGGTCTTTTAGATCGAATTTGATTTTCGTTTCATATTATTTTCGGTAATGTTCTCGATAGAAATCGTAAATTTATCGATAGAACTCACCCCTATCATAATTTTCTCCTCTGCACATATACGATAAGTCGTCGACTATCGATAAAAGCACTAAAATAAAAAACAAATGTTTCACATCACCGCCCGTTTTGAACCACTTTCGAACTGTCATCTTGACGTTTGAATTCCCGCGTAAAAACGAAACGAAAAAAAAAAGATTTTACGAAATACCAATATTCACATTTTACATTTACTTTAATATTTAAATAATTTTATTTAACGGCACCGAAATGGTTTGCGCGTCATTTTTTAATTCATTTAATTATTATTTTTTTTAACTTGACGACACACGAACTCTTTGGCTGTTCAAAACCTACTAGCCGAGTGACCAACTTAATACTGTAAAATAAGAACCACACATATTTCCACCTTACTAATTCACTTCCAACAAGCTTTAAAATCAACAATATCACATCCTGTAATCGTCTTTAACTCTATTGAACTTAAAGATCAAAATCGTTTGTCGTTTCAGACCTAAGAACTCGGTCATAGTTAGTGGCAAGTCGCTAAACAAGTGAACGGTGAAATTGTGAGAGACAGACGTACGCCGCGCGAAAGAGATAGCATAATATTTCTTTGATAGCTCACCCGCGAAAACTGTGAACTTTCTTTTTCGTTATGTTCGTATAGATTAATAAATTTACATCGGTTAATTTATTGATATAGGATGATATAGTTAGTTAAAAAAAATCAATAATCACATTAATAGTGTTCTTTCATTTTTGTCCGAAATTTCGATCTAACTGATAGTAATTGGTCTACCCGGAAGTTCATTATCAAAGATAACAGCACAGCCATTTTTCACTCATCGAGTGCCAAACTATACGGGAACGAACATCCAAGTAGCACGCGAAGGAATTTTATTGCATCATAAAATTCTACATTTTTTTTTATTGCCCTTGTAGGCAGACGAGCATACGGCCCACCTGATGGTGAGTGGTTACCGTCGCCCATGGACTTCAGCAATGCCAGGGGCAGAGCCAAGCCGCTGCCTACATATTTTTGTTCTACATATTTGTAGAGAGACCATGTCAGCGTCACCAAGCTAGTAGTAGGTGAGCTCACGGGGCTCAAACCTGACGATGTTGCCAACACGAACTTTAACAAGAGCCGTGCTTCGCAGAATCTACCGCCGGCTTGGAAACGCGACCCACTGAGATGATCCGGCGAGAAACTCAGTGGGCTGTGTCTGTGGGTTAATTTACCCGCCGAGCCCTTCGTCGCAAGAGACGGGTTCGACGAGAACGATGACTGGGCATTTTCTGTAAACGTTTCTCTGCACTCCACTGTGATGCTTCGATGAGCCTCATACATATATTATGTTGAAATTTTCATTCGAGCTGAGAGATTTGTATTCTGAATACGCAAATTAATGAAGGTGCTACTCTTTCCATACTAAAATCCATTCGCATCCGATTATTTTACCATACGTACGTAATATGCGCGTTCTACTGTGACGTGTGATCAATTCCCGGTGAATATTTTATTACTGCAACCGTTAAGATCTCGTATACTTCCACCACTTTACTAGTACTGGTGGTAGGACCTCTTGTGAGTCGCGGGTGGGTACCACCACCCTGCCTATTTCTACCGTGAAGCAGTAATGCGTTTCGGTTAGAAGGGTGGGGCAGCCGTTGTAACTATACTTGAGACCTTAGAACTTGTATCTCAAGGTGGGTGGCGCATTTACGTTGTGGACGTCTATGGGCTCTAGTAACCACTTAACACCAGGTGGGCTGTGAGCTCGTCCACCCATCTAAGCAATAAAAAAAAAGCACGTATAAAGAACACGACAAAAATTTGTTGTCGTATGCGGAATTCTTAAAAATATATCGAATATAATCTGTACAGATAACTTAAAACGGTTATTTAACGATCATGCTAAGTGATGAATGGGGTCCGTGGACACCACGACGTGCAAGTCGTCGCTCACCTTGATACGTAAGGAGCAGTCAAGTATGTTATCTATATATTAATACGTGAAACAAAAACTTTGTTTCCTTTTTACGAAAATTGCGCGGACGGAGGAGTATGAACTTTTCCACACTTATAGAGAATATAGAGAAGAAGTGCACAATGCTAATATTAAAAAAAATATATGCATAAAAGATACATTAAATCAATAAAGAAAACACTACACACACTACCATGTATTTGACACACGCACACAAATACTCTTTGTTTATTGTCAAACTTTTGTTATTGCTTAAAGTCTGTAGTCAAATTAAAAATAGGTTAGTATTGTTTATCTATACTAATATTATAAAGAGGAAAGATTTGTTTGTTTGTTTGTTTCGAATAGGCTCCGAAACTACTGGACCGATTTGAAAAATTATTTTTCCATTAGAAGCCGAGATTGTCCCTAATAAACATAGGCTACTTTTTTTTAATTTTTTTTTAATTTTTTTTTTTTGGTTTCATGTGTGTTTTGATGTTTCCGAAGCGAAGCGAGGGCGGGTCGCTAGTATTTAATATTACGAGTATTTGTCTATAGTGTAGTCTTGGCGAAATCTCTAACAATAGGACCATGATAATGTTGAAACTTATAATTTCAATTAATTATAGTCGAATTTCGACTACTGCGGGACCACTAGTATATAACTATTATGCTTTTAATTGGATTACGTTCTCATAATACAGTACCAATATTAACCAATATAATCAAAGTTAATTTAATTTACTAATCAGACAAAACAAAAAAAATACCCAAGTCCCTAATTATCGGGTACATTCACATTATAGACTTAACGTCATGGCGAGGGATATGATCCTCAAAGATATACGAACCGATTCCTTCGAATTTACACAAAATATTTATTAACCGAAGCACAACAAAAAGCCACAATATAACTTTATTTTTATTGATTAGATAAGGCGGACGAGCTCACCACTCAGCTAAGTGGCCCATGGGCATCAACAACGTAAAAGGCGTTACCTACCTTGAGACATTAGTTCTAAGTCTCCGTTTTTTTACTAACGACTGCCCCACTCTTTAAACCAAAACGCATCACTGCTTCACGGCGGTAATAGGCAGGGTGGTAGTACGAACCTGCGCGGACTCATAAGACCTTCCACTACTAGTAAAACTTCGAAAAGCTTATAATGCAGTCGACTACATGCAAATTTTATAGCTATTATTACAACTATTAGTGGTCCCGCAGTAGTCGAAATTCGATTATAATTAATTGAAATTATAAGTTTCAACATTATTATGGTTATATTGTTACAGATTTCGCTAAGACTACACTATAGACAAATACTCGTAATAATAAAGATAAACAATATTAACCTATTCTCAATTTGACTACAGACTATAAGCAATAACAAAAGTTTGACAATAAACAAAGAGTATATATGTGTGTCCCAAATACATGGTAGTGTAATGTTTTCTATATTGATTTAATGTATTTTTAATCCATAATTTAAAAAAAATTATCATTCTGCACTTCTTCTCTATATTCTCTACTAGCGACCCGCCCTCGCTTCGCTTCGGAAACATTAAAACACACATGAAACAAAAAAAAAAAAAAAAAAAAATTAAAAAAGTAGCCTATGTTCATCAGGGACAATGTCGGCTTCTAATGGAAAAAGAATTTTTCAAATCGGTCCAGTAGTTTCGGAGCCTATTCGAAACAAACAAACAAACAAATCTTTCCTCTTTATAATATTAGTATAGATAAGTCTGCAAAATTTTATACTCCTCCGTCCACGCAATTTTCGTAAAAAGGGATACAAAGTTTTTGCTTCACGTATTAATATATAGATAGTTCCTGTCATTGGCGATGTCAATAGCTGGCGATGTTCAGTTGTGACAACTATTTCAACGAATGTCGGAATCGTAATGCCAAACTTCGAAAATTATTCTTATTGTTCAATACGTTACAGAATTCACAGTTTAACTGGTGGTAGGACCTTTTGTGAGTCCGCGTGGGTGGTACCATCACCCTGCCTATTTCTGCCGTGAAGCAGTAATGCGTTTCGGTTTGAAGGGTGGAGCAGCCGTTGTAACTATACTTGAGACCTTAGAATTTGTATCACGAGGTGGGTGGCGCATTTACGTCGTAGATGTCTATGGCTCCAGTAACCACTTAACACCAGGTGGGCTGTGAGATCGTCCACCCATCTAAGCAATAAAAAAAAATTAGAACTATTTCATTTCAATTCACCTTATTCATATTCAAAATATAATTTAAAGTTTTTTTTTATTAATGTTCACTTAATCGAGATAAAATCATATTAATTTAGTTCTGTTTTTTGCTAATGTCCGCTAGACGAGTGGTCCAAGGACCACACAAGCTGAATACCTCCGGAGCGAGATCAGTTTAAATACATTAAAGTTAAAAAATTTAGGGAACACAAACATCACATTGATCTGGTAAATTACTTATTTGTGATTAAAAAACAGTGCCTTTTTCTTTCAAACAATGATCTCTACGAAACTAGACCATAGATAATTTATAGGCTTTGATGTCATAAGAATGCCTTATCGATTATGCATCTCAACTCTAACTTGTAAGGTAGAGCGGCAAAGTGCCGGACTTTCGCTTAGAGGTCATGTTTGTATACTAGAGATGTCCTGCGTACGTTATCGATATAATATATATAAATATGTAATACATAATTTTTTCTACGTTTTCAGTAAAAATGTTTTCGGAAATAAAAAATAGTAGTTTAAAAAAACAAAACAAAAAATACGCCTTTATAGAAAATCCAACAAAAATTGAATAGAAAATAAATTTTAATAAATTCGAATTAAAAATAGTGTAAGAAAAAATTATGTTTTCTTCAATATTTTTTTTAGTATTGAATTGTCATCGGTCCTTAATAGGTATAACCAAATTTCGAGTTAATCCGACGTTTTGAAGGGTTCAAAATCATGTTCAAAGATTCCGTTACATACTAACATACATACGTCTGAAGATAATAAAAGCGTATTAAAATTAAAGCTTTTTTGCGAACGTCTTTAATTGTTTTAACAGTAACATTTTCTTGTTCCTAAAGTTTGTTAATAAAATCGTATTTCTGTTTATTAATTCTTTAGATTATTTATACCTATTTCAAACCAATTTCTAAGGTCTGACATGTATTCAATATATCCTATCTATGAGATATTTTCATAATGAATGAATAATGCCGTATATTAAATTTAACACTGCAAAAAATAAATT